CCACTCTGCTGAACTGTCATTTCTCCATATCATCCATTGATTTTGTCTTCTCCAGTCCTGCTCTGTCATTTCGTCCTCCTCTTTTTCAGCCAACTACAAACATTTGTTCCATCATTACCCCTTGAAAGCCAGCTACAAAAACACAGTCCCAAATCATCTTAATTTCCTGCAAAAAATTGCTACTGCTGAAAATTCTGCATACAACTGCTGAAGACCGCATCGGCTAATGGACACAATGATCCCAACTGCTGTTCCTCTATAACTTCCTTTTGTTTTGTCAAATAATTTACTCACTGAGTCATCGACTAGCAGTTACAAGAATGTAAATTTTGACCTCAACCTTTCTTATGTATAAAATAGCCATTCAAAATTGGAATAATCAATTAGAAGTATTTCCTTAAAACCTAGACGTTAACCTGTGATGTACTTTTTTCCATTTATAGAATTGCTCAAAGCTAACCCAAAAACTCAGGAACTCCGCTTAGTTTGTTCCAAGAGCACCATGCATCTATTGGAACGTATCCAAAATAATGAAATAGACTCTACTCAACTACCATCTATAATACTCAGTTAGTGCGGTGTGATCATGTGCCATAGAGAAGTTGAATGTAATTTTCCGAGGTCATAAGAGCCTGCAATGTCCCAAATGCTAACTTGACAGAGCAAGTATAGCCTTTCTGTGAGCATCAAGATTCTAATGCATTATCAGATCCGTATAGATAAGCACAAGTACCTGGAGTTCAATCAGCCAGGGCTGCAAATACTTCGATCACCAAATTATACATAATAGGTTAAAGTTTACCTGGTAAAAAGCACAATTCGTTGCAGTGCTATTGTTCGTTGTATGGGAGAAAGAGCTTCAAATTCAGAAGCTGTGTAAGAGTATCCAATAAAATCATTCAAGTGGTCAAAAGCACCAATTTGCCGACAAAGAGATTCTGCTGTAGACTATAATTTAAAAATAATAAACAAACATTTGCGTGAAAAGATTAAAAACAAAAAGATTGGAGTAGAAGATAATGGTTTTAACTGACCTTGTTATCACCAGTAACGACTATAACCCGAATACCAGCATGCATGCATGATAGCATTGCATTTCTTACCTCCTCCCGTGGTGGATCAAGCATCCCAACCTTAAAAAAAAAGAGCGCATTCTTAATTTAACCAAAAACCACCATTAAACAGCATATATTATTAATTTACAACAGAGGTTTCAAGATAGCCAACCAGAGAATTTGTTTTGATGAATTGTAAAAAATAAAATCCTTCAAGAATCATGTTATGAAACCAAGTAATTATATCATAAATGAACGTAAAAAATTAGCCTCCATATAAACATAAACAAGGTATGGAACTTCACGTGGAAAAGAATATTGAGTTTGTGTTCTAACTTGTTAAGATGATTATCCAATAAAATATCCTAATCGCATAGACTCATAAAATAAATGAAGAGGGTATGCGACCTAGCTCAGTTAACAATGCTAAAATAGAGGCAGACCACATCAAGCTGCCTAGACCCGGCATGAAAGAGACAAAAGATTGTCTAGGAAGCTATGACATATTTTCTTGATTAACTTACATCTTTACAGCATTTTCCTTTATAAGAACTACAGCTAATCAACCATAACCTAAAAAAGACGCAAGTTTTTACTCTCCAGTATAGCTACTGACTACAAAAGTGGGAAGAATCATGTGAACAGTTGACATGTGGATGGCGGCCGGTGAGTGACCACAACAAAACATGATGATACAAGAGTTAACCCAAACCACGATGCAGGATACAATTTTATTACTGACTTAAAATAAGGTTACAATGAAGACTCAAAATAACGAAAGACAATGCACAAAGCAATAGCACTAAACAAAGGATTACAACTAATGACTCAACAAAGAAGACAACTACTTGATGAGAAGGGAGTCTGACAAGGGGAGGCTTGACTGATAGCTGTGTTGAAGGCCATAGAGGTGGGGCTGCTGTGGAAGAAGTAGGACAACAGATTGGTGATAGTAACGACATTGAACCGCAGCTGGAGAGTTGTTGAAACAACTTCAGAGGTTGGATTGGCGGCTGCGGTGAAGGCCGAAAAGGTGTGGTTGCTGTGGAAGAAGTAAAACAGCAGGTTGGTGATAGTAACGCGTCGAATCGCAGCTGGAGAGGTGCAGGAACGTCATCGAAGGTTGGATTCTTAAATGGTAGAAGAGAAATGAAAGTATGGTAAGATAAATGCCTCGGTAATGTTGCGATACAGCCAAAGCACCACTCAGACCCTTGGAGACGATCACTACCTCGGACGAGGGACAGTCGGAGCATTATCTCGGCGTCGGATACAACCAACAAAGAGAAAATACCAAGACTAAATCTGAATTCAGATATCAAAAAATAAGATCCCTAACTCTAAGCACATCATCCTCTACTTATAATGAGACTAGGTTTTTATTTTAAGCAATACTTAAAATAAGAAAGGAAAATCAATTCAGAATTTTAGATTTAGGAAAGAGGAATAAAATATTTAAAAATTCTAATTTGAAAATTCAGTTTAAGAAAGTGATTATAATGAAAATTCAGATTTAGGAAAGAGGAATAAATAATTCAGAAATTCTGATTTCAAAATTCAATTTAGAAAATGGATTATAATGTAAATTCAAATTTAGAAAAGAGGAATAAAAATATTCAGAAATTCTGATTTGGAAAGATTTAACATTAGGAAGGTGCGCAGGAGGGGGGAGGCGGGAAGGGGAAAAGCGGTTCTTTGAGGATCGGCCGGTCCTATATAGTCCCCGCGTCACCTTATGACTACAGGCAGCCATGGCGCCGATGGCAACAAGCAACGAAGGCAGAAACAACAACGAAGGTTTGCAATATATTTAGAAATCACTAAAATATGACAAATTTGGTATACATCAATTTTTTGAACTACATGGAGAAATTCAAATTCACCAAAATTTTACACTATTCTGTTTTCAATCAATCAAATGCGAAAATTTTTAAAACCCTAAATTCCATTTACATTACACCAAATTAAAGCAGTCAAATGGCCCCTAAGTTAGCTACTCGTTCTTCTAACTAGAATTGGAAATATTTCTTTGGTTGAATCATGATTCAATCATATAAATATAGTTGCCAACAAAGCTTCAAAAGATAAAATGGGTCTTCAGAATTACAAAATTTGAGTGTTATGAGTTATTCTCATTGTTCCTTCTATTGTAGTTTTAATTCCAAAATTAGGAGAAAACTGCACAATCTTTTCGAGTAATGATTGGTCCAATAACAACTTGTTTCACTTGGAAAAAATATTATCTTTTCGAGTAATGATTGGTCCAATAACAACTTTTTTCTCTTGGAAAAAATATTAAATAAAAAATGATATAAAGGAAATATAGAATATTCCCTTTTTTTTGTTCTAAGGAATCTTTGTAATGAAGGATCAATAGTGCTTTTCCAACAAGACAAAAGGGGAAAATAATTTGGTTCAATATCATTTCACAATCATATTTTTTGATTGATCAAGCTTTCGAAAATAAGGCCCACAAAATTATGAAGAAGAGATGGAACACTAATCTTCAAGCTGAGCCTTTTGATTTGCATTGTGTGACAATTAAATATTTTACTATTTCATGTCATTGTTGATCATTTTTGTTTTCAATTTGTAGCCCTGCAATTCCATTAGCATGTTTTACATCTATCACTTCATAATGAGGACTTTCCCAGCTTTTCAGTCAAAAAATAATAAAGCACCACAATTCCTATATCCTGTCATTTACATGACTTTTCAATGTCATCCAAGTAAATCATTATAATACTACTGCAATTCGATCTCTAAAATAGAGATTCAAGGTTTAAAGTCTTATTGAAAAAAAATGCGCCAAAACTAAAACCATTACCAAGCGTTAAAAGTGAAAATATAGATGATTTAGTGGCAGTGGCAATACACATAACAGCACCTAACTCCAGTATCTTCCAAATATAAGGATTCCTGAAAGTTAACCTACAAATTTAGTAGTTAATACAATCAACATGAAAATACCAAGTTTAAAATCATATTTATCGCTCAAAATAATGCAATGATGCCCAAAATAGAGACAAAGACATGTCATTAGGACATTGGATGGATGGCCGGTGACAAGCACTACATTTTCCACTTGTTTAACGATTCTTCACTACAGTTCATCAATGCTGTGATTGACTCCCGTATATTTAGTGGAATAGCTCAAAACTTTCTGTTATTTAATATGTTCACATATTTTGAAATCATACTTCTATTTCTGGATTTAAATCTTCAATAACGAAATACAAGGGCAAACACTCAAAACAGCTTTCTTGGTCATGCAAATAAATCAGCCAACATACTCTGAACAGTCTTGTTCACAAAACTCACAAAGAATGTACCAATTGAAGCATCAAACAGTTGGTTCTCTCGAAGACACTACAGTTCCATTTTCATTACCTCATCTTTACAAAATGTAGCATTTTCTCATTAAACATTGTAACAACATATTTTAGGTTTTATTGGTCTTACTAGAAAGGTGCAGTTCTAAAAATAAATGGTAAAGGGGACTCACAAAAATACTGCAAAAATACTTGGGTAAGGCAGACCATGATGACGGTACATGAAGAGTAGTTACTATAATTCATGATTTCTAACCGAGCTAACTATGATCAAAAGGTAGATTATAAGCAATATATGAAATTAAAAAAAAATGTGAAAATCAAAATAAAGCGAACAATAAGTTAGGAAAACTCTAAAAAGCTCATAAAAGAATCAACAATAATAACCAACAAAAAATCTATGATGTCATACCAATCCAATGAATGTAAGATTTGCCTCATCCTCATAGCTAAGCATCTGCTGACCAGTTGGCATGCGTTTTAATGCCAAGGCTAAGCATCTGAGGGTCTCCTTACCTGCAAAACTAATCATGAAAAATGAATTGGAATTAAAACTAAAAAAAAGAGTCTATCAACGGTAGGGACAAGATTTTTAAATTCTAGACAGGTTAGTGAACCTTTCTGACAACAAACAAGACAACGATGTAAGCTTTTAAAAAGCACTGCAAAGCAAACAATTTTCACTGACAATATGTCCATAATTTGTATATGGAACAGATATAACTTTCAAAAAAGTCATATAAAAACGTCTAAAGTAACAGAAAGCATTAACAAAAATAGACAACATTGTTAAATAAATAAAAAATATCACAGAGTAAATTCAAGATAAATTTAATCTTGTTGAAAGCAAATATGTGATTACGACCACACACATTAGGAAATAAAATAAAACAACAAACACAAGCAAACACAATTAAGAATAGGAACACAAATAATATTACTAAAAGCAAATATGTGATTACAACCACACACAATGGAAAAGAAAATACAATAAACACAGCTTAATGTATCCAAAGGTGGTGATCAGTTTGGTGAGTGGATGGCAGGAGGATGGTGACAAGGCCGTGGATGGCTGTAGAAGGTGGAAGGGGAAGTTGTGATGGGCTACAACGGTGAAAGGTGGAGGTTGGCAAGCTGAAAGACAGAAAGCAGGAGCTGGTTGGAGAGTTGGAACAGCAGACCAGAAACAACTGTTTGAGGTGGTGGTAACAAGCAGGAAAGCCGACAGCTGCAGTGGGGGGGG